TGATTCACACAAGTAACGTGTAATAGGAGGTGAAATATCAACACAGAAATAAATCACCTGAGAAATTATCGTAATTATGTATGTTGTTTTAAGGTAATTTAGGCAGGTAGAGACAGAGGGAGGAAGGGGGGAGGGGAGGGGGAGGGAGGGAGGGGAGGCAAGGAGGAGGAAGGGTTATACCATATGAGTCTTTCAGAATTCGGATGGTGAGAACAAGTACAGATTTCTGGGCCCAAGTGGCGAGTCTAATTCATCCTTCACGCCAGGGGTAACTGTGGAGGTGGGAGGGGAGGGGAGGAGGAGGAGGGTGTCAGGGGGGAGGTTGGGTTGGTAGGTGGGTAGAATGAAGGAGGTGGGGAGGGTAAGGTGGTGGGTGGAGAGGGAAGTTCGATAAGGAGGAGGGGGAGGGGTTGAAGGAAGGGGGGAGGGGTTGAAGGAAGGAGGGAGGGGAAGGGGGTATATCACTCACAATGGGCATAAGATAAGGTGAAGGGGGGAGGTCATGGGGAGGTGAGGGGGAAGAGGTGGAAGCCAAGAGGAAAACCAGACCGATAAGGAAGAAGAAAGGAAACAGAGACAAACAGAAACAGACAGACAAACAGAAACAAACTGACAAAGCCAAAACAGACAGACAAACTAAAGCAGACAGAGAGAGAGAGAGAGAGAGAGAGACTTATCATATCTCCCAGTTTCAATTTACTTCCACTATTTTCTAATACATTTCCCCACACACACACATCTCTCTTTCTTTACCAGATACAACTCACCCTCAATCTCTCCCTTTATAAAGACACTGGGCAAATACATAGACACACACACCACCCCTCTTCCTCTCCTCTCACTCGCCTTAATCCTCAATCCTATACCGAACACCTCAATCCTATGTTAGTCTGGATTATTTACCCTATAACCCAGACTTAATTCACTATCCTTCATCATCTATCTGGTATAAGTTAATGTATCAAGATTTATGAGTTAGTAATACATTATACACTTGTGGTAATCGTTTGGTAACTAAGATTTATTTTATAAGTGGGTGGTTTTTTTTTTCTCACATTTAGATTAATTTATGTTAGTGTTTGGTTATTATTCTCATCATAAAGACACTCGTTTGGATATACATACATACAGACGCATAAAGAGACACACACACACACAGACATCCCATTGTAAATCTACCTTTAATATTTCATTTTATTTTTTTTTCCTTTGTAGTAATTCAAGTTTGTTTTAGCCATTATACTTAGTGACCCGTGGCCCCATTATTTACGTTCTCTCTCTCTCTCTCTCTCTCTCTCTTTCTCTCTCTCTCTCTCTCTCTCTCTCTCTCTACATCGCCTTGCAACTTAATTAATTCTCCCTAAGAGGTTTTCCATATTGGAGGCTGTGTACAACTGTCCCCCTTCCCCCCACCTCGCCTCTCGTCCTGACACTTCACCTTTCATGTTGCTTGCTGTTCTTACCATCTCCTCTGTTATAAGTCTCTCCAGCATTATATCCCCCGTTCTAAGACTCTCAGGCACTATCTGTAAGTCTCTCAAACACGATCTCATCCTTTAAAAGACTCTCAAGTATTATTTCTTCCTCTCTAAGTCTCTCAAACATCATATCTCCCTCTAAAAGTCTCCCATTCACTATCTCTCCCTCCAATACCTGCCAAAAATATCTAGACTTATCATCACCTGGATCAATATTAAACTAATTATCTCAATATTCTTGCCAGCTTTAACATGCACCAGCTGCCTTGTGTGGAAATGTAATTTATATATATATATATATATATATATACATCTACGAGCTTCTTGTAAAGTAATTCTCCACACACACAACAAAATCAACCACAACAACCATATCTACAACTACAACAGTAAAAACAACAACAAAATCAACCATAACTACAACAGTAACAACAAAAAAATCATCAATAACAACCACAACAACTACTATACAACCATGAACAAAGACACACATCCTCAGAGAATTTACTACAACATATTTACAGACATGTCAAGCTTCAGGAGACTGTGGTAACATGGAAGCATCAGGACCTGGGATAGAAAGAGCTCTCTGCAGGTTGTGTTTACCCTCAAAACATGTGCGTCAGACTAGAGACATCTTCTTCTTCTTCTTCTTCTTCTTGAGGTGGCCGTGTTGTTGCTGGCAGTTTTACATAAGTCGTGATATTGACAGTGAATTTGGGGATCTCCGTTACATTTTCTTTGCCAGTCAATTCTGAAATAATTCTTAAAGTAATAGTGAATTCTGAAATTGTTCTTTGCCAGTCGATTCTGAAACTGTTCTCAAAGTAATAGTGAATTCTGAAATTGTTCTTTGCCGGTCATTTCTTAAGATATTTCGTACTAAACCAACCAGTCCTGAAACCAATGCTTAACATTTAGTTCTGAAATACAGTTGTGCCAATCAGTCATGAAGTCGTTTTATACAAGTAGATTTTCCATAATCAATATGTTGTATCATTAATATGCTCCACTAATGATATGCTCCACCATTTACATATTCCACTAATAGTATAATCTACCATTAATATACTCAACTAATAGCATGCTACAATATGCTCCACTGGTAAAACCTCTACCTATAGTATGCTCCACCATTATTAACTCCACTAATAACATGCTCCAATATGATCACACTCCACAGTGATGCATTAATCGCATTTTTTTTAGCTCACACCTCTCTGCAATAATGTTCTATGAGTGTTATTTCGTTTTAATGGTTCATTTAGCTATGAAATATTACACACTAATGCTTTTGGGTCATTTTGCTGTGTTAACGAATGACATTTTATATTTGCATTTAGCTGTCGCAGTCGATGCTTTTAGCTGACTGGCTCGTCCACTGGAAAAAAAATTCTCTCCCGCACCCCCGGCCCGTTCACACCATGGAGTCTCATTGCACCCCCAGGCCTATTTTGTTTTGCTTTTACCATTTATTTATCAGTACTGTATTATGCCTTTCTTCTTTTTCTTCTTCATTATCTCCCTTTATCAGCTTCTCTGCCGCAATCATCCACCTACTCTCTGCCTCTCTTTTCTGCCGCAATCATCCACCCACTCTCTGCCTCTCTTCTCTGCCGCAATCATCCACCCACTCTGTGCCTCTCTTCTCTGCCGCAATCATCCACCCACTCTCTGCCTCTCTTCTCTGCCGCAATCATCCACCCACTCTGTGCCTCTCTTCTCTGCCGCAATCATCCACCTACTCTCTGCCTCTCTTTTCTGCCGCAATCATCCACCCACTCTGTGCCTCTCTTCTCTGCCGCAATCACCCGTCCTCTATTCAATTTGCTATTTATTTTCATTACTGTGGACGTTATTGCTTCTCCCAGTCGAAGGATGAACAAGCATATCATTGATCCTGATATAATATTCCCTTTCAATGTTTTGGAAAAGTGATAACAGGATATCTTGATAATCCTTTTGAAGTAATATTGCAATATAATCGTAATTTCTCTCAGGAGCCACATTTTCGTTTAAAGTTTCCAAGTATTGCATCTCAGTGTGTGTATTGCTGTCGTATCAATACCAATCAACAGTAATCTTTACCTCAACGTAATATCCTCCTTTAAAAACTTTGATTTGCCATTGTCGTAACTTATGGGGGGTTCGATTTGTGAGGTCTTTGTACCCGTGGGCAGCAGAGGAGAGCATCAACACCAAAGAAGAGTCACAAATCGACAAGCTGTACTAATGAGCTACCATAACTTTTCTTACTAACAATGGGTTATGTAGAAGTTGGAAGTGCCTGGGGAAAAGTTGCTACACAGCGAACACCAGAAAGGAGTAATGGAAAAACTCCCCCTCGTTTGTTTTGATAGTTAAAAGAAGAAAAAAAAAGAGGAGAAAGGGGAAAGAACTAGGAAAATAAACAATAAAGAAAGGATATAGAGCATAAGATAATAAAGATGGTGAGAGTAATACCATAGGATAAGACTCAAACAAAAATATCGAATGAAAGAGAAGAGACAAAAATAAATTGGACGATGGATGTCTTATGAGAAATACTCCGAGGAGAGATAGTGAAGGGAATTGGATTCAGAAAGGAGAGAAAAGGGAGAGAAGGAGAACAAACAGACATGGCAGACGAGGATAATTGATTGGGAAGAGAGAAAGACGAAAAATAAGTTGTTGGTGGAAAGAAACCGGAGAAAAATAGAGAAAAAGAAATTTATTATGATGTAAATAGAAAAATGAAGGAAAGGAAGATAAGAAACACGATAACAAGTGCAAAAGACAAATTAACAAATAAGGATAACCAAATACGAGTGAAACTGTTATTATTAGTTGCTTTGTTCTTGCCACTCCATAAATTTATAAAATATTACCTATTAACATTAAAGTCATCCACCTACCACACTCCTACCACTAAACCACCTCCCATATCCATCTACCATACCCACCTACCACCACAATCAACCCACCTACCTCCAATTACCACCCACCTACCCACCCACCCCCCACCCCTACCCACCCCACCCACCCTCCACCACACCACTCCACCCCTACCCACCAGCATCGCCTACTACCCCCACACCACCCATTAACTAAGCACCTACAACAACCACTACCATCCATCTACCCACCACACCACCAGCTAAGCACAGGGAGGTGGTCCAGGACACACCTCTCACTCAGCTAGGCCAAGTGACGCTCCCAGCATACCAAGGAGGAAGGCATCACACAGAAAAACATGACAGCAAGATCCAGAGGTGGTATGAAAGCCGCCATGTTGCCAATACTCTTCAAGGTACATATCCAGTTATCAACAACAACAAACACAATAATAATAGCAACAATAATAAAAATAAACACAGAGATAACAATACTAATAACAAAAACAACAATAGTAAATAAAAATAACAAAACAAACACAAAAAAACAATACCAACCACAAACAACCGCAAAATACAACTGTTTAATAAGTAACTGACAACCTCTACCACCTATAAAAGAAACAGCTCGCTCATAGAGGCTTCAGTATTACGTGAGACAGAGGAGACAACACATCATTGAAGTTGATCTGATCTATGTGACTGGAAAGAGACGCAGTTTAGAGATAAGGCTATTGGAAGGATGCTGAAAGGTCTATGCTGCCACCCTAAGCCCTGAAGACAAGGAGTGAAGTTCAGCTTTAACCTCAGCTCAAGGAATCCCATAATGTGACAGGTGAAGAATTATAGTAGGGAAGAGGAGAGATTTTTTTTTCTTTCCTTTTCTCAGGCTCGTTGCAAGGTGAGAGGGTGGAAACCATAGAAAACGAGAATAATAGTTGAGAGAAAACGGGATGTTTATTATAGAAAATGGGTTTTGTTGTGATATTGTGATGCTGTTAAGAGTTTGTTATCCGATGGTAAAAGAAATAGAAAAAACCTGAATCAATTACGATGGAAAACATAATATGATACGAACAGAGAGAATGGTAATAATTAAGGTGGCAATGATATAAAACAATAAGAATAGAGGATTAAAGAAAACGTAACTATATGAAAAAGGTAAACAAACATGTATTTAATATAGTTTGAGAATCTAATGACTATCATAAGTTAGAATAAATTGCATATTTTTCAAAGATTCTCAAAGACTTCCATTAAATTGTTCCCACTTTGCTAAACATGATGATTTTCAGTGATATTTACAGGAGTTTGTTTTTGTCTCTTACTTTGGGTCATGACTTTGTTGTTTTTCCGCGTGTTTACATCTTAACTACAGAGAAAAATAACCCACGAACTTTTAAGAATCTGTCAAGTTTACGAGAGCGTTACTGGGACAAGGACGATAAGAGACATGAAAGGGAGAATTCGTAATAAAAGGAAATTAGCGATATGAAGGAAAGAGTAAAAATGGCATTTGGGGAAAGAAAATAAGAGTTACTTACACAGAAAAAGAAAGAAAATATAATAGAAATGTGTTGTAAGTGGAAGTAACAAAATTAAATGATGAAATAGAAACAAAAGACAATTAGGAAAAGAAAACAAAACAAAAATTACAAATACAATAAAAAAATACGAAAAATTAAAATAAATTTAATTATAAAAAAAAATCTCGTTCCCTAGTCTTGTCATAGCGATCAGTTCAGGTTCTAAAAAAAAACAATAGAAAGTTATTACATCGTCAAGGTCAGAAATAAGCAATATAAAATCACCGAGAAAGAATGTAAATGAAGAGGAAGAGAAAGTTGAAAGTGGTGGCTTATTGTGTGAGTTGTAACTTTCTTATTGAGATCATAATGGTCTTGAAATGTTTGTCTTGAAGAGGGAATGAAAGAGAGACGAGAATTATTGCATCTTCTTCCTTATGTCACATTTTCTCTTCTTTAGTGTGTCTTCTTTCCTTTTTTTATTATCCTCTGTTTCCTCTTCTATCAGTGTCTCAGGATTGTTTATTTGTTATTTGTTTCCATCTTTTATTGCTTTTGTTTTTATTTCTCTTTTTTCTTTCATGGTTGTTTTAATTATCTGTTATTATTATTATTATTATTATTATTATTATTACGGTTATCATATTTCTTTATCAATTTCATTCTCTCATTTATTATTTTTTCCTCTTATTCTGTTAAATAATACAGCAACTCACCACGGCCTTTCTTTACTCTCTCTCTTTTTCTCTCTCTCTAATTCTTTCTCTTTCCCCCTCTCCTTCTCTTTTTATTTCTCTATTTTACTCTCTCTCTCTCTCTCTCTCTCTCTCTCTCTCTGTGTGTCAAGGTCATCATGGGTCAGAGAGGCAGAGTGTTTACAGAGACCCTTTTAAACCAGGTCTAGTAGGCAAGGTGATGAGAGTCTAGGTAAAAATATGAAGGTGAATATATGGGTAAATAATGAATCAAGGGGAGTGTTGGTATAATGTTTAAGTCATTTTGTAAGTACATGTAAGTCCTGGTACGTGTGTGTGTGTGTGTGTGTGTGTCTCAAAAAGAAACGGAGAGACACAGCGACAGAGACAAACACACACACACACACACACACACACACACTGAAGGGGATATACTATGATGCCAGGGACAGGGGGTTGAGTTTGAGGACTCTAGAAATGGTGTAGACAACCAACACGGCAAGTAACACCAATGTTTTGATCGATGTGAACCAGAACACCGCAGAGAGGGTGACACTGGCAGATACATGCGGCTCTGGGGTGACATTGGCAGACACATGTCGCTTGGGGAATAGCAGTTGTTTTCTTGGTCTATCTGGGGAGGGGAAGGTCAGACAAGGAACAAGGAAAGGTGGAAGAGATAGGAATATATACTGTACTGTATATTTGTTGTGTATAAATATATCCACACACACACACACATACACACACACACACGCATGCCATATACAAAATATCTTCAGTACTGAGGTAAATACTTAGGCCTTACAAACACACATCACCAGCAACCCTGAAGCGTCCTCCACACACTCATATATATATATATATATATATATATATATATATATATATATATATATATATATATATATATATATATATATATATATTATACTCTACACGTACCTTTCCTCTCCCTTAATCCTCAGTTAGTCAGCATTAATATTATCTTGACCCTTAACATATTTCCTCAAAACTCAATATTAATCTTTATCTCACTACACCATTGTTAATAAGTCATTTTATTTCACTACCCCCCAAAAAAAGTTTATATATGTTGTCTTGTTATATTTCCTCTAGACATTCATATTCATTCGCTTAATCTCACTAAATGAAAACACAACATTGGTATTCTCTCTCTCTCTCTCTCTCTCTCTCTTGTACCTCCACCAGAATACTACATTAATATTCCTTGGTTCTATCCTGGCATGAAAGCTTATACACACGCACCACCATACCACCACACTACACATTATCACACACACACACACTATAATATACTACACACCACCACAACACAGAACCACATACCACCACACATCAAACACCATAACACAACACACTACCAATCACCACTACACACCACCACACCACACACCACACACAACACACCACACACCAACTTCTCCTCACCACTCACCACACGCCAACCACCACTCACCACACACCAACACACCACACACCAACCACCACTCACCAACACACCACACACCACTCACCAACACACCACACACCCTAATATTCAGGCAAGGAGTGCTGGCCTCATCATCTCTGTAGTATAAAGTGACTGCTGGTCTACCTGGCTCAGTTTTACCTTAATGAACAACCTCTGTACATGAGAGCAAAAAGGTGTGTGTGTGTGTGTGGTGTACGTTTGTGTGCGTATTTGTGAATGCTAACTTTTTATGTATGTGTATGTAGAAATTATATGTCTGTTTGTGTGTGTTGGCTTTGCATATGTGGGAGTTACAGTAATTCCCACCTTTATCCCCCAGGTCCTTGAAGCACTGTAGTAGTGATCTTGTGTGTTATCGGACTTGGAATTACAATCCAATGTGGTATATGTAAATAATTTGCTAATTAATTTATGGTTTAATTTGCTAGTTAGATTAGGGAAATGATTAAGCGGAGTGTACAAAATATAGTGGTAAAAACACTATTTGGAACCCGCCAGACGCATTATTACACGGGAAGTACTGCGGTATTCCTCTTTCTCTACGGATCACGTTAATATCGTTTAATTTACACGATATCGGTGGCGATAGTTAACTAAAAATGTAAATATATATATTTCTATTAAGAAATAGTAGTATAAAGAAAAATAATAATGAATATTTAGTTGTTGTTTATATATCACTGGACTACTGCGTCACGCAATTGTACAAGGCGATAGAAGCGCCATTCTCGTTTCACACTTCATGGAAGGCAGACGCAACTCTACAAAATCTAGCAGACAGTCGGCAACCCAGAGATATTCTACCTTCTCAGTTCCTCCAAGACTCTCTACAACTCATAGCAGCCCCTAAAATAACAGCTAAGTATCTTTTTAAAGTTTAGGTGATCACTTATTCTTAGGTACCGCTATTTTAAGAGTACGGGGCTAGCTTAGGTAATTATGTTATATTTTTTATATTATATTAACTTAGATTTAATATCTAAAGCATATGTATAAGTCTGTTTGTGTATGTTTGTTTTGTATATGTGTCTGTGTATATTGTATTTGTATGTGTGTTTGTGTATGTTAGTTTTATGTATGTGTATCTGTGTATGTTGGTTTCGTATGTTTGTCTGCGTATGTGCGAGAGTAACCTAACATACTGTCTATCTGTGTTTGTATGTGTGTGTGTGTGTGTGTGTGTGTGTGTGTGTGTGTTTGTTATTAAAGAAGATTACAATGAGGATTTTTGTTTATTTAATTTGGATTGAAGAAAAAACCCGATAACAGTAAAGGAAAATGAAAAGTTAAAGATAAGAAAAAATGTCGTGAATATGAACAGTAAAATGTAATCTAAAATAGACAGCCGTGACTCTCATCTTGTTGGCTGTAATCAACACAACGAGGCACAGTAAGCAGCCGGGCGCGTAGTAGTGGTGGTGGTGTGTGGTGGTGGTGGTGGTGTGTGGTGGTGGTGGTGGTGGTGGTGGTGTGTGGTGGTAGTGGTGGTGGTGTGTGTGTGGTGGTGTGTGTGGTGGTGGTGGTGGTGTGTGTGGTGTAGTGGTGGTGGTGGTGTGTGGTGGTGTGTGGTAGTGGTGGTGGTGTGTGGTGGTAGTGGTGGTGGTGTGTGGTGGTAGTGGTGGTAGTATGTGGTAATAATTTCTGGCGGTGGTGGTAGCGTGTGGTAGTGGTGGTAGTAGTGGTGATGGTGGTGGTGGTGGTGGTTGTAATATGTGGTAGTAATATCTGGTGGTGGTGGTGTGTGGTAGTAGTGGTGATAATGGTGGTTGTGGTGGTGGTGTGTGGTAGCGTATGGTGATAATGGTGGTAGTAGTGGTAACTCATGGTGATAATGGTGGTAGTGGTGGTGGCAGTGGTAACGTATGGTGATAATGGTGTTTGTGGTGATGGTAGTATGAAGTTCACTTAATATACACTACATTTCCTTAAAAAAAATGTATTTCTCTTAATTGATTCTGTTTTTTGTAATAACGCGTAGTTTATTGATTACGTTCAAGGTTAATTAAACAGCTTATACCTGCAATGTACTCGGACCCACGCAGGTAATAATCAGAAAAACGAACATAACACATAAATGAACTAAAATATAAGGGGTAATATCAGTTACAGTATAATTAAC